GTGTGCCTCTTATCAAGAGCATGTGTCTACTGAACTCATCAATTTTATTAGATGAACTGGGTGATTATATGTTAAAACATACAATCAATACCGCGATATTAATTGTACTTTTTCTCAGTGTGTGAGAATATAGTGCATGTAAAAAGTGTGAAAACATCAAATCAGTTTTCAGTTAATCTTAAAGGCTTTTTTAAGTTTCACATTTTGTCACAACAGAAAGAGAAATGGGGGAGTGGTCTGAGGATGGAGCCAACGCCTTCTCAGGAGAGCTTCTTATATCTATAACAGATCAAACTAAAACTCAGTTGTATCCTGCCATCATACAATGTATCTCCTTACGCTGATCTTTGGGATTGTGCTTCTCCATAAAGGCAAGTTTGTGACGATTGGGGACAGAATGGACCCATATGCAACGCTGAGGGTTTCAAAGGAAGTTTATTGAGGTGCGGCGGCCGGGGATGGAGTATAACGAGGAGCAGGTGTGGGTAGCCAGCCAGGCTCCGAAGCGGAGAGAGGGAGAGCACACAGAGGGAGAGAGAGGGAAGGCACAGGAGAAACCAGAATGGGAGGGAGGAAAGGAGAAACAGGACACTCACCAACAGCCGGGCTGTCACCGCAACAGGGGCCCCCCCCTCAACGGACGCCTCCAGGCGGACCCCCTGGTTTGTCCAGGTGAGCTCGGTAGAAGTTGGTTAGGAGGGAACGGTCCAGAATTTGGCTGGCGGAGATCCAGGAGCGCTCCTCTGGGCCGTAGCCAGCCCAGTCCACCAGGTACCGGTAGCCTTGGCCTCTACGTCGCACGTCAAGAAGGCGGCGTACAGTGTAAGCGGGGTGACCATCGATTATCCGGGGAGGGGGAGGCGCTGCCACTGGTACAGAGAGGGTGCTAGTGTAGACGGGCTTGATCCGTGAGATGTGGAAGACCGGGTGGACCTTCAGGTGAGGAGGGAGGGTCAGGCGAACTGCGGAGGGGTTGATGACGGCCTCGACGGGATATGGGCCGATGAACAGGGGGGCGAGTTACTTGGAAGTGGTTTGCAGGGGGAGGTCTCTGGAGGAAAGCCACACTTGTTGTCCTGGCCTGCGATTGTGGACCGTGGTGCGCTGCAAGGCAGCCGTGGCCTCCCTTCAGATGCTGCGGCAGCGACGGAGGTGGGCCCGTACTGTCGGGACCGCCACCTCCACCTCCAGTGATGGGAACAGGGGGAGTTGGTAGCCCAGAGAGCACATGAAGGGGGACATACCAGTGGCAGCGCAAACCTGGGAGTTATGGGCGTATTCGATCCAGGGGATTTGAGAGACTCCAAGAGGCCAGGTTTCTGTATGCCACACACCTGAGTGCTGAGTTATGGGTGTATTCGATTCAGGGGATTTGAGAGCTCCAAGAGGCCAGGTTTCTGTACGCCACACACCTGAGTGCTGCCCCCAGGTCCTGGTTGACCCGCTCGGTCTGCCCGTTGGTCTGGGGGTGGTAACCTGAAGAGAGGCTGGCAATGGCGCCAAAGGCGCAGCAGAAGGCTCTCCAGACCTGAGATTTAAACTGGGGTCCCCCGGTCGGAGATGATGTCCAGCGGGATGCCATGCAGGCGGAAGACATGGTTGATGAGAAGGCGGGCGGTCTCCAAGGAGGTGGGGAGTTTGGGTAGGGGGACGAGAAACGGTCGACAATGGTGAGGATGACTGTGTTCCCGTTGGATTTGGGGAGACCGGTGACAAAGTCTAAGGCGATATGGGACCAGGGGCGAACGGGAGGGGGTGGAGCATACCAGCGGGCAGCTGATGGGAGGCCTTGGCACGGGTGCACACCTCACAGGCGGCCACAAAGGACCGACAGTCCTTATCCATGGAGGGCCACCAGAACCGCTGGCAAAGTAGGAAGAGGGTGCGGGCCATCCCGGGGTGGCAACTGAATCTGGAGGCATGCGCCCACTGGAGAACCTGGGAGCGGACGCTCGACGGGACTTAGAGGCGATTAGGGGGCTCGAGGCCAGGACCGGGTTCAGTGGACTGGACGCGGCAGACAGCGGATTCCTCCACTCATACTACAGAGGTGACGAGGCAGGTGCGGGGTAAGATGGTGTCGGGGGGGTCCGGGGAGTGTCCGGGGAATAGAGCCGGGAGAGGGCGTCTGGTTTAGTGTTTCGGGATCCAGGGCGGTAGGAGAGTGAGAAATTTAACCTATTGAAGAACAGGGCCCACCGGGCCTGGCGGGAGTTTAATCTTTTTGCGGTTTGGATATAGGAAAGATTTTTGTGATCTGTCAGAACTAGGAAAGGGTGTTCAGCCCCCTCTAGCCAGTGCCTCCACTCCTCCAGGGCCAGCTTAATAGCCAGCAGTTCTCTGCCCCACGGTGTAATTACATTCGGTGGGAGACAGACGACGGGAGACGAAGGCACAGGGGTGAAGTTTGTTATCCTTGGGGGTGTGCTGGGAGAGGCAGGCGCCAACGCCCACGTCCGAGGCGTCTACCTCAACCACGAACTGAAGGGAGGGGTCAGGGTTGGTGAGGACGGGGGCGGAGGTGAACAGGGACTTGAGGTGGGAGAAGGCTGCAGCGGCTTCTGGAGACCAGGTGAAAGGGACCGAGGTGAAAGTGAGACGAGTGAGGGGGGCGGCGACGGTGCTGAAGTTGCAGATAAAGCGGCGGTAAAAGTTAGCAAAGCCGAGGAAGCGTTGCAGTTGTTTTACGGAGGTGGGAGTGGGCCAATCCGCGACCGCCTGGATCTTCGAGGGGTCGGCGCGGAGCCGCCCCCTTTCAATAATGAAACTGAGGAACTGGACGGTGGGTGTGTGAAATTCACATTTCTCTGCTTTAACGAAAAGCCTGTTCTCCAGAAGCCGCTGCAGGACCAGACGAACATGTTCTGTGTGTTGGGCAGGGTCGTGGGAGAAGATCAGGATATCATCAAGATACACGAAAACAAAGCGGTGGAGAAAGTCACGGAGGACGTCGTTGACTAAGGCTTGGAAAACCGCGGGGGCGTTGGTAAGGCCAAAGGGCATGACTAAGCACTCGTAGTGACCGAGGGGGGTGTTAAACGCGGTTTTCCATTCATCCCCCTCCCGGATCCGCACCAGATGGTAGGCATTTTGTAAATCCAGTTTAGTAAAAATGGTGGACCGGGAGAGGGATTCAAAGGCAGAATCAAGCGACAGGGCTTGGTCTTTACTAAAGACCGGAGCGAGATCATGGTAGACGTCGGGAACACCCGACAGGTCAGGAGGGACAGGAGGAGAGACAGCTGGGGCCGAATTACCGGGGGCCCGGGCGGACAGGAGGCAGGAGGAGTGACAAGAAGTACTCCAGTTCCTGATCTTCCCCCGCGACCAGTCGATATTGGGGTTATGAGTGATTAACAAGGGGAGACCAAGAACCAGAGGAGCGTCAGGGGAAGAGATCAGGTGAAGGTCGAGGGACTCGTGATGATTTCCGGAGGTGATAAATAGTAACCGAGGAGTACGGTGGGTGACGGTGGTGAGGGGCTGGCTGTTTAGGCCCGTGGCGTGAAGAGGGGTATCTAAGGGGACCTGGGGGATCTTGAGCCGGCGAGCTATTTCGCGGTCCAGGAAATTCTCATCAACGCCCGAGTCAATCAGGGCCCCGAGAGGAAGGGTGACATTCCCCCAGGAAATGGAGGCATCGAGCCGGACTCGTGGTTGGGAGAGGGGACTGCGGCCTAGCTGCATGGGTGCAGGAGACGGTGGGGCAGGGAGTACGGGGGGAACCGGGAGCGCTGGCGGGACCAGCGGAACGGACAATCGGAGCACGGGGGACGGCAGGACAGAGGCCCGAGACGGTTTGAGGCCGGAGCGGGAGGAGGAGGAAGTGCGGGCGACGCGTTCCCTCTCTCTCTCCCGCAGACGGTTGTTGAGATCAGTGGCTACCTCGACCAGGGCGTTGAGACCCTTCGGCGTGTCCCTAACGGCCAACAGGTCTTTAATCCGGTTGCTAAGGCTGTCCAGGAACACGCACCTGAGGGCCCCATTGTTCCAGCCCGAGTTGGCCGCCAGAATACGTCCACCGAGTACTCTGCCACGCTCCGATCACCCTGTCGGAGGAAGAGGAGGCGACCCGGCGCCTCTCTTCCCCGCACTGGGCGATCGAAGACTGTCCGCATCTCCTCAACAAAGGAGGAGTAGGAGGAGAGGACGTGGGGCTGGCCCTCACTGACGGCTGTGTACCAGGCCACGGCCCGGTCGTGGAGCAACCCAGCGACATAACAGATCTTGGCCTCGTCGGAGTGGAAAGACACTGGTTGCCTCTTGAACACCAGGGCGCACTGAACCAAGAAGCCGTCACATGTGCCTAGAACACCGGAGAACTTGTCAGGATGGGAAATGGGTGACTCACGAGGAGCGTCCGCGCCGGCAGGGGCGCTCGGGGCAAAGTCAGCGGAGAGAGAGTGAGGCAGAGACTGAGAAGGGGACAGAGGGCACGTGAAGCAGGGGTCGGGGAGCCGCGCGCTGAGACGCCGCACCTCCTTGCCCAGGGAGCAGAGCGCGTCGGACACCGACTGGAGACGGGCCGCATGCTGATCGAGAACCGCCCCCTGGGAGGTGATGGCACAGATGACTTCCAGCGGAGTGGGGTCGGTGGAGGGGGGAGGAGAAGGGGAGCGTGCTGGGTCCATAGTGGCTCGATCGTTCTGTGACGATTGGGGACAGAACGGACCCAAATGCAACGCTGAGGGTTTCAAAGGAGGTTTATTTATTCACAGGAGAAACCAGAATGCGAGGGAGGAAAGGAGAAACAGGACACTCACCAACAGCTGGGCTGTCACCGCAACAAAGTTTTGATTTTGATTTTTTTTTTGATTTAATCTTTAAGAAAAGCTGGATTGTAATTTTCAATTAATTTACTTCAGAGTTAAGTTGTTAAATGTATTTTATCCTTATCTTAAAAAAAGAGATGATGTTTTTGACTTATCTAAGGTTTGTGTTTCATCAGCCTACACCCTGAAATGTTATGAGTGTGTACCGGGAAGCTCAGGAACTTGCACAGAAACAACTAAAGAATGTCCCTTAAGTGGTCTGCTTTGGCTGACGAGTATATTGAGGGCTCAGTGAACTTTGGAATCTCCAGAACCGTCATTACCAGCAAGTGCTGCACCTCCGACCTCTGCAACGCCCAGCCTCCTGCTGGTAACTTACCTTTATGGTTATATTGTCTTAAGTGAACGCGAAAACCCCCAACTGCCAAGTGATGCTGCACAATAGCAATTTGTGTGTGTGAGTGTTGGAGAGAGAGAAAGAGAATCTCCAGATTCAAGTTGTTTTATTGCCTAATCATGTTCTTAATCATGTTCCTTTATTTGGAATAAATCTGTACATTTTGTATGTCTGTTCATTTAAAAGCTGGTAAACCTCAACTTGTTTATCTGCAAGGAAACGCCAACAAATGTCCATAGCCTGCTGGACAAAAAATTCTTCTTTACCTCCCCAAACAATATGAACAATATATGTTCTATGTTACAGAACCGAGTAAATCTAATCCCAATGGTAAAAAGTGCTTCAGCTGTGATGGTCAAAAGTGCACCGCAACTCTAAACTGCGAGGGGAATGAGGACCACTGCATCTCAGCAGCAGGTAACAGGCCTAAGACATTAAACATCTAACTCTATTTCACATCTTTCCTCAGCTCTGAGGGATGCTTAGTGATTGTACTTGATGTATTAGGACTTAAAGCTCACATACTAACATTATTTTTATTCTCTCAGTGAACACAGGAGGTGTACAGACTACCGTGAAGGGCTGTGCCTCCAAGCAGATCTGCTCAAATACGGCAAATCCGCAGATTTCGGGAGCCATTGGACCAGAAATTAGCTGCATGTTCTCTTAACTGTTGGAGTCGCCAGCATCACTGCTCAGCGTTTTCTCTCATCTCTGTATGGCCTCTTAGTGTTCCCAACCCTTTATTTATTCTTTCAAGCGACGAGTGAGGAAGTAGAAAGTTTAGCATTTTCCAAGGGCAAGACATGATGGATGTGTTCAAAATACCTTGAATGAATATAGGGTAGACTGGAGAACATGGGTCAGTTGTAACACGTCCAATTTCTCCAAACAGGAACAAGTTATGAATCTCCTTATTCACTCTGCACATGCTCAGTTCAGTCTTTATTCTACATGGGAAAAGGTAGCACTCTGTGACAGGCATAGCCGAATTTAGAAGGTAAAATATTATTTATTATTATGACAATGCCTGCTTTGTAATTAAACTCATTAAACTTAAATCATGTTGTTGAAGCCAATTTCTTGTGTTCAATTATTTTAGCATTTAAATTATTTATTTTGAGAATAGTCATTTGGATTTATTAATTGTTTATGTATTTAGCTGTCCTGATTAATTAACTCAGATTTCAGCTGTGGAAGGAGGAAGAGGTGTGTCTGGAGAGGTCTTTTGGGTCTGAACCTAGGGGCGGACACTAATGAGAGAGGACCGACACAGTCTTTGACCTCATGTTAAGTTTGAAAGCCTTTATTGTTGTTCGTTTGTTTTTAAATAAATAATCAAAGGAAATGAGCGACTCGGGCTTGTATTGTAATTGGTCACTTACACATGCGAGTCAGACGTAGAGCCCTGTAACCTGGCACAGCGGTCTAAATTGAAAATGGACAAAACACATGTTTATTGTGTGTCTGTAAAGCAAGTTGTCAGTGATAATGTTTTAGCTGTAAGGTATGCTACTTCATGGCAACAAGAGTTTGGGTTATTTGTAACAACAAAGAAATTTAATTGTATATACAGTATATGTAACCATTTCCACTCTTGGTACCCTTCAACTGTATCCAAAAGTTGATTCAAGTTTTAGAACAAAATAAATTTGTGTCATCAGCAAATAAAAACAAATTTGAGAATTTTGACACCTACAGAGTACAAAGAGCTTTGGACCCAGCACTGATCGTTCTTAAGGTAGCTTTTCAGCTAGGAGTATGTTGCCCCTCTAATGCCATATCTTTCTTAATGAGTAAGCCACGATCAATGGTATTGAATGCTTTTTTGAGATCTATAAATACTCCATATATACACACTATATACTGTATATTTTTTGTCTATTGCAGTTGAGATACAGTTGAAACCAGAAGATTACATACACTATATAAAAAGACATGTTGCTTTTTTGCATCACTTTTCATGGTTTATGTCCGTTAGGATTACCAAAAATTATTTATATTTTGCAAAATGCCAGAATAATGAGAGAAGGATTTATTTAGACAATTTTTTTAATTACTTTTGTCAAAGTCAGAAGTGTGTCTTTTTATATGTAAACTTCTGGTTTCAACTGTATTTTGTACTAGTTCCATTACTGGCAGTGAAGTATCCCTCTTAACTTAAAATCCATTTTGGTGGTCATTTAATAAAGTATGTTTATCAATAAAGTTATAATGTAACTGCACTCCGTGGGTTAAGCAAGATGCAGAGAGTCTCGACTGATGTCTTTACGGTTTCTTTATTTCTTTCTCCATATCCGTAGTGCACCGTGAAAACTCGTTCTGCTTCCCAAGGGCGTTAAACCAAAACCTGGCAATTTCCTTTGTTACTTATTGCCTATAAGTTTGGCATCTTTCCTGTGTGCTCCCGTCTGCTTGCTCTTCATTTCAAGTATATCCAGCTGCAGCCCGCAGACCTGATGGAAATTGACGGAAGTTGACGGAAATTGAACTTCCAAATATGGTTTGTCCCAGAAGACACCGCACATAAAACGTGATGACGTGTATCTCGGCTCACGTACATTATAGATCCTAATGTTAACCGTTTTATTCTTTAGAGGCCAACAACAAAACTTTAAATACACTTCTGAGAAGTTTTGAGGCGAGAAATCAACTGTGTAGATGTCAAATATTGGCAATCTGATGAAAATTGACAGCAAATCGAAAATGTGTTCAAACGTTTTCGGAGTTGACAAATGCCGACCATGGTGCCGGCGGGTGTCAATATATAACTGCAGTAACGTTAGCGGAGGCTGCACAGCAACACAATGGAGGTTATCTGCTACCTATCTGCTAGCGGCTGATGTGCGCTACTGTAGGGTTAACGGTAACCGGTTGACATGCACACAATCAATAACTTTGGGCACACACCCTGTGATGGTTAGGGTAAGAGTAATATACAGGAAAAGTTAACCAGCTCCCCCAGGTCCAGTCACACAGACCACTGCAGCCAACACAGCAGACATGTACAGCAACCGCTGAGTAAAGTAAATTAAATATTAATGCATAATGTACACTGATTGGTATGCTGACACTTATTTATCGGCTCTATTTTTTTTTTTTAACGGCTCTGCGTGGCCCGAACGAGATAAAGAGGGACGAACCATATATGGAAGTTCAACTTCCGTCACGTTTGTCTGCGGGCTGCAGCTGGACCCTTCTCATCCATACAGTCTATGGCAGTAAGACTTTGGTTTGAGTCATCACCTAACTTTTGCAGTGACTCTTGAATTCTGGCGTAATTCTGGTGCACTGCTTTTGTTGCTTGCGCGTGTGCTGACCATCTAGTGTCTGAAAGACTTTTTAAAGTCTCTATCCTGTGGTTGTCATTAGGCTCTAAACCTGCTTTAACTGTCTGCCAACGGGATGTGGATTTGGAGATAAAATATTAAAAAGTGTCTGTACAAAGTTACAACATTCCTCCGTCTCAAGGCAGCAGTTACAGTAACACTGTTCAGCCCCACTAAATTGAGTGTGTGCGCGGCGCACGGTACCCACTCAACCTGTTTAATGCGCGTTTGCAGGCCACTATAAATCCCGGACATGTTGGCTGCATTATCATAACACTGGCCTCTGCAGTTATCGATATCAATGCCCATGTCTTCTAAAACACCAAGAACAAACTGGCAAAGTGACTCTCCTGAATGACTTTCACTTGGCAGAAACTTCACAAAACGCTCCGTGATGCTGCCGTCAGGTGACACATATCGCATTATGAATGTGAGCTGGTCTGTGTGTGTAACATCTGGAGTGGAATCGACACTGATCGAAAAGTACTTTGCCATTTTTATCTGACTTATTATCTCTGTGAGGACCCGCTGTCCCATCAGTTCAATAAACTCCAAACATGTTGATGATGAGAGGTATGATTGTGTTCCCCTGCCAGCATTGCCATACTTTTCAATATGCGCTTTCAAAACTGGATCAAACTCGCTGATAACTTCCAGCACACCCATAAAGTTCCCATTATCAGGTTGGCCAAAAATGTTACTGTGTCCCCTGAAAGGTAGTCCTCGCTCTGCTAAGAACTTCACCACCGCAACCACCCTCTTTAAAACCTCAGTCCAATATTCACATTCATTCTCAAACTCTTTTTTTAGTTCTGAATTTATACACCCAGCTTCAGCACAGCGCATTACATAAGTGACCTTAGCCTTTCTGTGACTCTCTGATCCTTCGTGTTCAGCCAAACGCGTGGCGGCATTTTTCCAGTCACTATAGCCTGCTGATAGCCTGCAAATAATGTACGTGCAAAACAAAACACAGTGCCCTTTGAAGGGGAATAAAGCAACCATTCTCTTGGCACAGTTTTGCCATTTGCCAGCTTCCTTTTAGACAGGGTTTTGGAAAAGTACCTCTTTTGGTATTTATGTTGTCTTTCTGAGGCGGAGACATCTGCGTCTTTGTTCTGACAAGTTTCAGGTCCTATTTTAGCCCAGTATGTCCTCATATGCTCATCAATTTTATCCCAGCATGCAGGATCCGAGCTATAAGTAGCAGGATCTGTAGACTCTTGTTCCCTCTCAGCAACAGGTGAGGACGTCATGGAGGGATTCGTGGCAGCTGGGATGACATGGCTAATTCCCAGGGTGTTGGTGGTGGCAACACAGCACACCGGTGTTTCAGGTTGAAGTGTCGGACCCTCTGTCTCCGACTCCTCATCTGAGTCCAGGTGACCTGGTTGTGAGGCATGGTCATGGTCTGCTTGGAGTTGGGAAGTGTCTTTGCCATAAGTAACGTTAGAGCTAGCTGCGGCTACAGCTGAGGATGCAGTAGTTTCAACCGCGCCAATGTTAGCCGTTAGCTGGCAGTCCTCCTGTGCCTGTGGATCTTTACCTGGTCGACTAGATGAAGATTCGGCAGCCTTGAAATAACCAGTCAATTTGGGGATTTTCTTTAGAAGATCTTGGTCAGGTTGTTCTTTCAGCTATTGGGCTTTCCGTTTTTGTGCTCCACTATCGTATTTTCTATCAGACATCTTGCTGCTTTTGCTGTCCTGTAGCACCCATGATGTGGCCAGGGTTCATTGGGCCAGCTGATTGGGTAGATGTGGCCCACATCTACCTTATTTTTCAATGTTTTATATGAGCAAATGTAAATTAATAAAAATATCCTGGCCAATCCGGGGCCTTTGCACACGTGGGGCCCCTAGGCTGCAGCCTAGACCAGCCTGTGCATTAATCCTGTGTATAGGCATGCTTCAGCTGCAGTGTTAAAACCTCTTCATGCAGTCTATCATGCTCCCTTGTGGTTTATTACGGGTGCCAATTACAAAAAAGCACACACCATTGTCTTCTATACTCACTAGTGGGGTGGGATTCTTTGGTCGCGAGGAGAACTAGGCACAGGTTATTATTCGTCTAAAAGGCTATAATGCATAAACTTCCCAGCTATCTGACCACTAAAATAAATTGGAAAGTCGGTAGGTATCAGACGCATTCCAAAGATTGGTTGGTCTTAGAAATTCCCTGAGCCCATTCCAAGCTAGGGAAAACTGCCTTTGAATATAATGCCGCAAATTCTTGGAATAAATTACAGGAAAAGTTTGAAATAGATGTCCTGATTTCAACAGGACAATTTAAAGCAATGTGGAATGAACACTTTCCTCACAAATGTAATTGTTATCTGTAAATTGTCTGTTGTTTT